GTACTTCTGTATTTACTATGATAATCTCACATAAAAATTTAGTATTTAGGGCCTCCCTGGTGATGCAAGGGGTTATGAAGCTGTCCACAGCCTCTGCAGCACAAATTCCAACCCATGGCCAGCCAGGGAGCAACCCAAATGGCACAGCAGACCTCCCCTTTCTCATCCACTGCTCCCCTTAGCAGTGCACTTGTCAATCTGCCTGTTCTGTTCCCCACTGTCTCTGGTGAATCCTCTCACCCCCCACACCTCTGGCCTGTACCTCAGCTCTTGTATGCATAAATCTTTAAAATAAAAAAATCGGGGGCTCCCTGGTGGCCCAAGGGGTTAAGCACTGCACTATGAAGCAGTACACAGCCTCTGCGGCACAAGTTCGATCCCCAGGCAGTCAGGGAGCAGCCCACATGGCACAGCAGACCTCTCCTGGCTCTCCCGCTGCTCCCCTCAGCAGTGTACTTTGGTCAATCTGCCTGTTCTCTCCCCACTCTGTTTCTGGTGAATCCCCTTACCGCTCTCCCCTGATCTCTGGCCTGTGCCCCAGCTCTTGTATCCATAAATAAATCTTTAAAAAAAATTAATTTAAATCAAGATAATCTTCATTCTCTTTATAAATAATTATATTACACCTGTTAAAAGAACTGCTTGCTTTGGAGAGCTATAAAAATCTCTTAAAATTTATATGAAAAAAAAAATTTATAAGAAGCTTGATATTTTACTTTTTCTTTATTGAGATGTTAGGAAGGAACTGTTTTCAGAAATTGGCTTTAAAACTAGTAGTTTTGGGCCTCCCCGGTGGCGCAGCGGTTGAGCGCTGGGTTGCAAACCTGCCCGCAGCCTCTGCAGCACCGGTTCGATCCCTGGCTGCTCCCCGGCCACCGGAGGAGGGTCCCACATGGCGCGCAGACCTCTCCTGCCGCCCGCTGCTCCCCTCAGCAGTGTACTTCGGTCCTTCTGCCTGCTCTGCTCCCCGCTCTGGCTCTGGTGAATTCTCTCACCCTCCCACACTTCTGACTGTACCCAGTGCTTGTATAAATAAATAAATAAAAATAAAATCTTTAAAAAAAAAAAAAAAAAAAAAATAAAACTAGTAGTTTTATTTTAACTGGCTGTAAGGAATACATACTGGAACAAATAAGGGAACCTTATTTGACAGAGGTCTGTGATGCCCCACTCAGGTGAATTATGATTCTGTCGAGAATAAATCTGGATGGAATAAAAGAAAGTGGTGGATTCTGTTGTTTCTGAGGACCTTTAGATGTAGGAATTTTAAATTCTCAACATATTTCTTAAAAGAATATATTTTCTCAACAATTTAATATTAGGAAAAATGAAGACACTTCAGATATGAAAAGAAATCACTAAAAAAATGTCCTTAGCTTCCCCTACTTAGCCAAAATGTAATAAAAAGAGCTCTATGGAAAAGCTTTTAGCCACAACATATAGGGAGTTTCAGAAGTTAAAAATTACAAGGAAAGTTACATGAATCTATATATTCCAGAATCTATAGCTAATTTTCTTTTTATATAGAAGGGGGAAGAAATCTTCAATACTTACTTCCCTACCTTAGCTACGACCTTTAAGGACACAAAATTCATATGGTTCATCATGAAGACTTTGTTTAAAAAAAAAAAAATCAACACTACCAGGAGACACAGATAGATACCTATGTGTTTCTAATAAACACATAGAATTCTGCAAATTCTGCAATTCACAGAAGCCTCAAAAGGATTAAATGGCTTTAAAAAACATTTATTTATAGAGTGTACTATCTGAAAAATGAACCATTCTAGCTTGAAAACAATTAAGATATAAATTTGCTTAAAGGACCCATGGACCCATAGAAAGTTTTAAATCTAGATTACTGTTAAAAGACCAAACAGATCTTTGAAGAATAAAGGCTAGCCTGGAAAAACAAGAGACTTGTTAAGTTTACATCTTCTCCTCAATGCTGAGTTGGTGACAGTGGGGGCTGGTATCCACCTAGCACTTCAAAACATTTATTTACAGGTGAAAAAGGGCAAAGAGTCTGAGGAGATGTTGTTACTTCCAAGGCTCCCACAATCAGGTGTCTATAAACATGCAGAGACCCCCAAAGTAAAGCTAAGGTAAGAAGACCCCCAACAATGACTGAAATAGAACGAACTTCATCTGGAAGGGAGGAATGCAGTACCACCCAGGACCAAATTCCTGTATCATCTACAACACTTCTACCCTACCTATGAAGCTCCTGTCAATGAACTCATTTGAACTTAAATTTACAATAGTAGATAAACTGCTGTAAAATGTTTTCCTTCCTTATTGTTCAAGACAGAATTTAAAACAAACATGAACTATTTTTAAAGAGTATTTCTGTTACAGATTTTTGCCCAGTTAAGGGAAAGAGGGAAGTGGGAAGAAGAGAAAGATGGAGGATAATCAGGTAGGAGAGAAAAGAGCCACAGGTAAATGAAAATGATCAGAGGTAACCCTAGACTGGAAACCAGGAATCCTACTTTCTAAACCTAGCTCTGCCATCAGCTAATTAAACTGCCTAATTTTTAAAAAAGTGTTTATGTATTTATTTATGCATACAAGAACTGGGGTCTAGGCCAGAGGTGGGGGGGTGGGGGTGGGTGAGAGGATTCACCAGAGACAGAGTGGGGAACAGAACAGGCAGATCTATTGAATTACACTGCTGAGGGGAGCAGCAGGCAAGACAGGAAAGGTCTGCAGCACCATGTGGGTCAGCTCCCTGGCCAGGAATAGAACTTGTGATGCAGGGGCTGCGGATAGCTTCATAGTGCTGAGACTTAACCCCTTGCACCACCAGGGAGGCCGCTAAACTGCCTTCTTTAGACAGTAAATTTCTGCATCAACAAGTGAAATGGGGTTGGGGGTGCAACCACGAATAAGAATAGATCTCAGAACAAAATATCCCTAAAGGAAGTTCTCAGAGCTTGAGAATGACAACAATGCACAGAATGGGAAAAACCCTCTTCGGGTGCAGGGGCAAGGTAAATTTCTAATAATTCTGCCTGAGGATCAAAGAGATGTTCAAATTTACAATGCCTAGAGAATAGTAAAGAGGGTGAGCCCACATGTTGCCAATTCAACGCAACCTGACCGGGGTTCTTCATACCTGCCCTAGGTATCATAAGTTCAGAGAGATAGAAGTCTCCACCTTTAAGGTGTTCAGGATCCAATTAAAGCTTTGGCTGAATGCTAAGAAACAAAATGTGCCTCTACCGGACTCTGACATCTAGGATCTGGACATTCAAATCTCAACTAAGAAAAATGAAACAGAGTAACTTCAGAGCAGCTAAGTTTTCTGACTTCAAATCTAGTCGTGAGGCACATGATTAGTGTGCCCAAATGAATGTCAACTAGCTGGATTAATTTAAAGTCCTATTAATCTACTGGTTTAAAAAAAGGATTTTCATTATATCAAAAAAAATTTAAATATATCAAAATTCCTGCTTACTGTTAATAATATCAAAGTCTCTTAATATAGGTTTGCTTGTTACTATTGATAAATTGCGATGCATACATAGCCACTTATCTTCAAACATACTACTATGCTCACTTCACCTCGAAGTCAGGCACCATTATCCAAATGATCTCCATTCCTAATGGGTGGCACGGTGGGTGTATGGTTGCATTAATGATCTCCAAAGGCCCTTCCAGGTCTAAAACTGCCTGACACTGCCATCAAAACAGGGCAAGAGACAGAATGACCAATAAACATACAAAGGCCAGCCACAACTCACCTTGACAGCTTTTAAAATATTGTCACTATAACCTTTAAGTATATTTTGCAACTATAGGTACAAATACATATCTCACGAGCATAAATTTTGTCCCATGAGTAACACAAAGTTAATACAATTTAGTCTTTATAATTTACTTGTAAAGTTCCAGAAGAAAGAAAAATAAGGGGTTAAAAAGTAGTAATAAGAAATAGTAATAATCGGAATATTGTGCTGTGTGTCTACTATGCCCACTGTTAGTATAATCCTCTAAAACTTGAGTTTTGTTTTTTTTTCCCCTGGTGTTTGTCAGATCCCTAAAAAAGGGAACCAACAAAAAAATAGGACAGAGAACTCTGAAAGGGAAGGTTTTACAAGTTTAGAATCCTTTTCCATTTGCCTAGAGATTTTTTTTTAAGGGGGGGGTGGTAGGAGGGATGGTAGAGAGGGTGTCAAAATTAGGCTTAAGGGAGACTGCTTTTTCATTAATGCGCCGAGATGAATATTTCGACCGCTTATTTGTTGCCATTAAACCAACAAAACCCACTTCTGAAATCTACAATGTACACCACCATAATTTAATTTCAATTACAGCAAGTCAAACACAAATACAAGCCCTAGAAAATTAAAAAGAAGTTGCTGGGGAAAGTGAATTCTGCCTACTTGCCAGAAACAGAGAAAAGGGAATTTTCCAGATAAAGCACCATAGCAATTTGACTTAAAACTCTGGGATCAAATTCTAAACACCAAACGGACTGAATTCCAATAAAGGTCCCAGAAACAAATGGTTTAACACCATGAAACGCAGCCACCTCTAATTTCCAGAATTCCCAAACGACTTGAATCCATTTGCACTCCACGCAAAAAAAGACAGCTCTGCAAAATGACTTCCCTTTCTCTTTCACAACCACACCCGAACACGCCGCCCCTCTCCTCTCCCCCGCAATCCTAATCCCCGCAGTACCATAAGAAAAAAACTGGGGCCGGAAAAGGTGGTCCGCTTTCCTAGAAGAGGCCAAGCCGCGGACCCGGCCGGAGCAGGTTCGCAGAGCCCGGCCACCCTGGAACCCAGGTGTGGGAGGCAGGTGGGGCCGCCTTCAGCCAACCGAGGAGCAGCCGGTCAGCGCTGCCCACAAAGCCCGCAACTTCTCGGGGACAGACCGCAAAGCCGCCCCAGCTCCCTTCCCCGGGGACAAATCACCGCGCGGCCCGACGCCGGCGGCCCCGCGCCGCCCGCGCCCACCCCCGCCCGCGCCCGCGCCGCCCGCGCCGTACCTGGCGAAGAAGTCGGCGAAGCCCCCGCTCCGTCGGGGCCGGGCCGAGGCGCCCGCGGGGCCCTGCTCCGCAGTGGGGGGCGGCTCCGGCGGCCCCGGCGCGGGGGGGAGGTCGCCGGCGTCCTGGCGGATCCGCACCTCGAACGTGTTCCGCGAGCTCCAGCGGCCGTCGGGGCAGCCGCGCCGCGGCCCGGCGCCCGCACCCGCGCGAGTCCTCGCGGCCGCGGCGGCGGCGGGGGACGCGCCCTCCTCGGAGCCGTCGGCGCCCGCGGCGCTGGGCCGGGGCCGCTCCGAGTCCTCGCTGCCGCCGCTGCTCCCGGCCGGGCTGCCCCCCGCGCCGCCGGCTGCGCCTTCGGGGTCCTCGGCGGCCGCCAGGCAGCAGCTCCGCAGCGGGTCCTCCAGCGGCGCGGCCCAGTCGCACGCGCCGCCCGCGCCGCCCGCGCCGTCCGCGCCGGGGGCGCCAGGCCCGTCCGGGCGGGGGGGGCGGGGGCGCGGGCCGCGGCCGCCCGGGGCCGGCAGGAAGCCCGAGTCCCCGTTGGTCATGCCGCGGAGGCGCGGCGGGCTGAGGCGCGGGCCGGCGGGGGCCCGGCAGGAGCACAGCCCCGACTCCAGCTGCCCGCCGGCCGCCGCGAGGTAGCGCCGGAGAAGCTGCTGAGGCGGCGCCTCGTCGTCGTCCTCCCCCTCCGGCAGCTCCGCGGCGCCGGCGCCCCCGCCGAGGCCGCCCGTGGCCCGGATCGCCTTCCCGTCCTGGCCCGCGGGCTCGGGCGCCGGCACCGGGAGCAACTTGGGGTTTCTCCCCGAGCCGGCGCCGGCATCCTCCGGACCCACCATCTGGGGCCGGGCGAGCGCCGCCGCGGGAGGCGGCGGGCAGTGTGGGGGTGCAGGCGGGGCGGGGACGAGCCCTGGGTGCCGGGGCCGCGGCGGCCGCCGCCGCAACCTTCCCAGGCCCACCCCTCCCACCCCGGCGCTCGGCTACTGCGGGAGGCGGGCGCGCGCCTGGGTTCGCGCACGCGCCAAAGCCGACCCGGTCAAGCGCTGAACTGGAGACTCCCGAACCATAGAGACGGTGGCTAGAGAGACCCGCTCCAGAGCACGCCGGCCGCCAACCTGGGATCCGCCATCTGGATGTGGGAGGTTGGCTGGCCAGGTCCGGCGTCGTGCTTCCCAGCAGAAGCACGCTTAGGGCTCGCCTAGCAAAAATTCTCTTAAGACGTGGTAGTAGAATGCACAATATTAAAGGCGAGTAAGTCCTTCCAGCTCTGGTTGGTCATCGGGCTGCTCTACTCTCTGATATTCATCTTCAGCATCACTATTGCCACAATTTAGGGCTCCATCGCCTCACGCCCACACCTTGCCTTTGCCACGTCATCTTTCTTGTCTAGCACTATGTTTCATCACATGGCTCTTCTTAAATTTTTCCATTATCATTCAGTGAGGGAGAGGAAGGGGAATCAGGCAAAGAGGGACCACTGAGATAATTCCAGCACCCCTGTGATAATGGATTAAAATGGGGTGATCATTGAGTGAATGGGTGTGTTTAAAGTAGAAATCACAAGATGTGAAAACTGGTCTGATCTGAGGAGTGACAGAGGGAGAAGAACCAGCAATAACTACAGAACTCTGGAGACTGAAATTGGTGTGGTTTGAAACATTAGGTCTGGGGGCAAAAGAACTTGATTGTATGTGTAAAATAAAAAGACAGATAATAAAATATGGAAATCTAAAACTTGAGATGGGGTTAGGTTTGCAGATGCAAATCGAAGAGTCAGCTGAATAGCTATTGCAAGGATATGAGTCATGAGTGACATCGCCTGGGAAGAAAGAATAAAGATGGAGGTGGGGCAGAGTCTGAAAGGCCTCATTATTTCAGGATGGACAAAGATATTGTGTTATAAGGCACACGTTGTGGATAAAATTCCAGGGAAATATAGACTACTCATTCTAGAAGTATGTCAATGACAAGCAGGACAGAACTCGGAGAATGGAGTAGTATGAAAAGTTTGAAAATTGCAGGAAGAAAATTGCAAGGATAAATTCTCTCTAGGCAGAGCTGAAAAAGGTTGAAAAGACAAAAAAAAATTGAGATTATCCTCTCAGCTACAGTCATTTTTGCCATTATATAACATACTTACATCAAGACATTTCCTATATTAAATTTTTATATTAAGGTGAAATTCACATAAAGTTAATCAATTTAAAATGTACAAGTAAGTGCCATTTAGTGCATTCACAATCTTATGCACCACCACCAATATCTACTGCCAAAACACTTTTTTCTCACCCTATAAGAAAACACAATATCAATTAGGCTGTCCTTTCCTAGTCTCCCCACCCCTCCAACCAATTGCTGTCAATCACCAATCTGCTTTATTTCTCTGTGAATTTACATATTTTGGATAGTTCATAATGAATTTTGAAAGATATGACCTTTTGTGTCTTGTTACTTGCATTTAGCATAATGTTGTCACATGTGTCAGTAATTTTTCCCTTTTTATGACTCAGTAATATTCCATAGGATGTATATATCTTAGTCTTATTATCCATATCTCTATTGGTGGCTATTTTGATTGTGACCGCCTTTCCATTATTATGAATAGTGCTGCTATGAACATTCATTTACAGGTTTTTATTTGAATACCTGTTTTCAGTTCTTTGGGATATACATGTAGGAATAGCATTGCTGGGTCCTGTGGTAATTCTTTGTTTAACTTACTAAGGAACCATCAAACATTTTCCACAGCAGCTGTACCATTTTACATTTTTTTTAAAGATTTGTTTATTTACGCATATAAGAACTGGGGTGTGGGCCAGAGCTGCAGGCTTGGGGTAAGGGGGAGGGGATTCAGCAGATCTACTGAATTACACTGCTGAGGGGAGCAGCAGGTGAGACAGGAGGGGTCTGCTGGGACATGTGGGTTAACTCCATGGCAGGGGATCACATGGATGCCCCAGTGGCTGGCGATAGCTTGATAGCCTTGAAATCTCAACCCTTGTGCCACCTGGGAGGCCCCCCATTTTGCATGTCTATTAACAATATGTGAGGAGAGTTTCACTTTCTTCACATTCTTTCCAACATTTGTTATTTTCAATTTTTCTTTAATATAGTCATCCTTGTGGGTACAAGTGGTATCTCATTATGGTTTTTACCTTGAATTTCCTTACTGAAATTAAAATTTTCCCGAACTTCCCTAATTTCTTTAATGCTACCATTCTGTATGTCCCTCCCTTTATGAATTCATTCTATTTTTAAACTGCTGTTTCTCTAAATTGTTTTTTTTTGTTGTTCAGCTCCTTTCTCTCCCAGTATCATTAGTAACAAAGATTTTATGAACCACAATGGCTGCATCCATCCCTACTATTTTCACAGTGCTGTCTTCAAAATGGAAATGCATATTTTCTAACTTTGCCTACAATAAAAAGTAGTGCATAATAAATTATATTATAATTTTGCCATATTTCCCACTTCCAAAAGTAAAAGGTTTTGTCTTATAATATGCTATATCCTATTTTACAAATAAAAAGGATATACCTTCGGGGCCTCCCCGGTGGCGCAGCGGTTGAGCGCTGGGTTGTGAAGATGCCCGCAGCCTCAGCGGCGCCGGTTCTATCCCCGGCTGCTCCCCGGCCACCAGAGGAGGGTCCCACATGGTGCACAGACCTCTCCTGCTGCCCGCTGCTCCCCTCAGCAGTGTACTTCGGTCCCTCTGCCTGCTCTGCTCCCTGCTCTGGCCCTGGTGAGTTCTCTCACCCTCCTGCGCTTCTGACTGTACCCAGTGCATGTATAAACAAAAACAAACAAACAAACAAATAAATAAATAACACGCCTCTATTAAAAAAAAAAAAGGATATACCTTCAAGGTATAGTATATTCCTTTTTGTGGGCCTTGAGAGTTTGATATTGCAACTTTTGATACCATATCACATTACTACAACTCTATACATAAATAGTATAACTTGTACATTCTTATAAATCAGGTGAAACTATTATGAAAGGATAGCATCAATTTTTGCAATAAAATTAACTTAGTTAAAATATAGAAAACTATTGTTATACTTGGATTTTAGACTTCCTAGGAAAATTTTACTGTCAGATAGTCTCAAAAAACATATAATTGATCCAATTCTACATGTATGACCTAATATTCATTACTAATATTAAATATTGTACCAAAATCCCATGTTTTTATGTTGCTACAATCATACTCAAGGAGAAAATAAAGTCCTCAAACCAAAGGCTTCAAAACTCATACCTTTCTTTAAACTTCAACCTTTTTCTTGAATACTGGATTCAAACATGAGCCACCTTCTGTCATTTAAATCATCACTATTACCACCCACATGCCATTAGAGCTATGTTTCTCAAACTTAGCTGCACTTTGGAAACATTTAAGAAGTTTTAAAAAATACTGATGTCTGGGCCCCACCCAAGGCCAATTAAGACAATGTCTTTGGTGGAGGAGCATTGGTATTTTTAAAAGCTACTTGGGTAATTCTAATTTATAGTCAAGATTGAGAAATACTGTCTTATAGTTACAATCTTATCGCTCACCTTCTCTGCATAAGCAAATGTCTTTTTTTTTAAGATTTATTTTTATTTATTTATGTGTATAAGAGCTGGGGTGTAGGCCAGGGGTGTGCTGGGGTGGAGGCCGGTGGTGGGGGGGAGGATTCACCAGAGACAGAGCGGGGAGCAGAATGGGTAGAGCTACTGAAATACACTGCTGAGGGGAGTAGCGGGCAGGTCAACTGTGTCATGTGGGTCAGCTCCCTGGCTGGGGATCATACTCATGCTGCTGTGGCTGCTGATAGCTTCATAGTGCTGAGACTTAACTCCTTGTGCCACCAGGGAAGCCCCACAAGCAAACTTCTTTAAACATGTTTCTTCATTGGGCACCTCCCATGTCCATGTGATACTCTGAGAAGGATACAATGTAGCTAAGAATGTATAACCTGGATCTAATTACGCAAAAATTATTAAACTCAAAATTGGGAAGATTCTATTTTAAAAATTAATTTTATTCTTAAAAAAATGCCAGTATCATAAAAGGCAAGGAAAGGTTGTGGGCATGTTTA